ACTGTCTGACGCGTCTGCCTCCGCGACCCGAAAGGAGAAGCGGCGATGGAAGATGAAGATGAAGATTGCTGTGATATCCCACACAAAAGTTTCTACTGCATTAGCGAGTAGGAAACTTAATTAGCACGTGATTTCTTCTTGGTATCCTATTCGCTTTTCATGACGAGAGCTCTGCGTCAAACGTTGAAAATGGCAAAAATATATTATCTTCCTTATGCTCTTTGCCGCCTATTTCATCCTACCGTACTGGTATCATAGGTTTGCAGTTTTATGGGTTTGCCTTTTATTATCGAAACTAGAGCAGGATATTTCCTGAATTACAGCAGTTTTCAGCGTATGACTGAAGATTTCAAAATGCATACAGAATATTGCCACAAATCTTCCTACAGCTGTTGACGACTAAGGAGGAGCAAAAAACGCTACGCTACACGTTTCTTCTTCACAAAGCATACATTTATGAGCCCAACATCATCTTGGAGAAGTCATGGAACATCTGGCTACAGCTCGAAGAGATAATACTGCGAAGCTTGGCTCTAGAATCCAAACTTAAGAATGATCACTACGACAATGGAGGAAATTAACATCATGTTGCGAAGATCACACAAGAGACAAAATATTCTTCATCTTCATCTTACGTAGACGCTTCGCCTTTCCGATCACGGAGGCACCAGCATAAGACAGTTCTTCCAACGTTCCTGATCCCGTGCCAGTCTCTGCTTCAGCAGAAAACAAACGCAGTCTAGAGCAAACTCCTTCCAGATATTTGCACCTGGTTGATATTGGCGGTCGACTGGGCCTTCTCCTGCTCGGTTTGGCAAGAAACAGTTGCTTCGCCTTCGTTTCTGGAGGCATTCGTAACACATGCCCAAATCATCGCAGCTGTGACTTCTCAATCTGAAGAAGCAACGGCTGTACACCAAGGGTGTCTAGTATTTCTATACTCTGGACCATGCCAAGATGTGTAAGGTCAGCGATTGACCATAGAAAGCCCATTTCATGACTCCACGACTCAAGACCGTAGGCAAGCATAAGGACGAATATCGACTTGAATACCGAGAGCTTAGCCTACAGACTCAGCTTCGATTTAGTCACAGTGATTCAAGATAGTTCACGCAGAATGCCATTGGCTACTCCAATCCGCCAGTCGATCTCCTCATTTATTTATCCTCGGTAAGGAGATGTCCAGGCCTGTCCTATAGGGCTTCCAGTCTCCGCTTCTTTTCACCTTGGAGTCGGGGGATGGTCTGCCAGAATACCTTGTTGGTCATCTGGAAACTGGACTCCAACACCTCCTCGAACTTCTCCCAGGAATCCACCTTGACTTTCGCCACTGCTTTGACTTTATGCCTTGCGCGCTTCTGCATATCGCATGTGAGCTGAAGGCTCTTTGCTTGCAAACCATTTCTTAATGCAGCCTTCTTCTCTTTAACCGCCAGTTGTACCTTTCGTGTTCACCAAGAAGCTGTTTTCTGACATCCAGGCTGCAGGCCAACCCGTTTCAATCCGCAGCATTCGACGGCAGCCGCGAATTCGCCGCTCTTAAAGAGTTCGCATTCGGTTGTTTGCGAGCTTCGTTCTCGTGTCTGCCGAAGATAGTGTTTCCCATTTGATTCTTTGACTTTTTCTGCCACTAAATCGTCGTATTGTATTCCATTTCATACAGCGTAACGTACCAGCAACAAGGTGTTGATCGGTTGATAGTTCTGGCCCTCTCTTAACGCGAACATTCACTACTGAACGTCTTAGGTCAGACGATACGATTATCAAATCGATCATCGACTTCTCTGCACAACCTTCCTGGTACCAGGCATGCTGATTAACTCTTCGATGCTCGAAGAAGGTGTTCATAATGGACAATCCGTTATTTGCATAAAACGGCATTAACTCCATGCCTTTATTGTTGAGGTCGCTCTGGCCGTTTTTTTATTCCAATGACGCCGTTCCACCAGGTAGCGTCTACTATGATGTGCGCATTAAAATCGCCCATGCATGAGAGCTCTGTATTCGGCACTTCAGACAGAGCACACTGCACTTCCTCAAGGAAGGTATATTCTTCCTCCAAATTGGGCGCATAGACTTGTACAAAGATCAGCGCTTTAGTCTGTTATAACTTCGGTCGGAGGAGTACCACTCTTCAGATGACAGGCTTCCACTCAATGATACTATCAACGAGGTTGGGTTCTACTAGAACACGAACGCCGGCCTGAGCGCACATCGTGATATCGACACCTGAACAGAATGGCTTCCACCCGCAGAGGTTCAGGATTCTAGAGCATTGGCTTTTGTTGACGAGAGTCCAACAATGTCGAGTTGGTACTTTATGGTCTCATCAACTAACTCTTGTTCTTTCCCTCAGAGTGAGGATATATTCCAATTTCCGACTATAAGCTCCCACTGGCGGTGTCGTTCTCGAGGAGCCTTTTCTGACGTGCTATGGTGGCATCGCGATATCTGCCCCCTCCGTTCAGAGCAAGTATCGACTCTGTCGCTGAGTGATGCCTTCGTCATCGTTTTGTCGTTCTTCGTAAGCCGTTGCCGTGCTGGTACGCATTCTACTTCCAGGATGCGATGAGCAGATTCTTATATCAGACTTTTCGCATGCTGCGTCAGTTCCAGAACAGCATGCGCGACACTTGGTATCCTGAGCGACGACTGACCCGATACAATTTTCGATGACAGCAATGACATAGGGGCTAGGTAGCTTAGTTTCACGGAGGCTTCGCCGCGGCCTCCAACCCTCCTCGTTTCTCATCCGGCGTGGGACCGGCAACGGCGGAGTTAGAGCAGAGTTGTAAGTTAATATTATATATTTCGCCTTCACTCACCTGATCGGTAATATCAGAATCAACACAATGATAGTTCGTAAATTTAAATTTAATTTCAATTTAAATTTATTTGGTCTATCTTTCCAGTTAAAATGATGTTAATATGACAGTTTTCCTTCTAGTTTGGTTGACCGAGAATAATTTAATGATGTAGTTATTACGATCCTCTGCGGCTCGGTTTCCTGCGTGCCTTGTTAAGGAAAATCAGGCAAAAGCAAGACTCATGGATGAAAATCCACATAATCAGATAAATAGGGCCGACAAGAAACAAAATCAAACAAGCCAGGTTATTAAAATGGTCAAATGATACTCTAAACGGAAATGTCAGCGTTAGACAGCAAAATGAGGAAATAGTCTCAGAACACCAAAACTGGCAAGAAACGAGATCATACGAACGTTGCTTCATGTCGAAATGGTACTCCTGCTAAGCTAATTGGAAATTCCTTACACAGTCAGTGGTGACATGGTATTATGGTCCATATACTGCATCAACATATCGAGTCGAGCAAAAGAATGTTCGCGCACCAACTCATATTTCTCTATTTGTGGTCATATACAAGGATTCCTGAGTCAGCCCGTGCAAACGAACGATGGATGAGCTTACTCTGTGCGAATTCAGAGAGGTGGCATGCATGTGTCATGGTGAAAAGGGAGGGGGGTCAAAAGTTGCCTTGCAAGTCACGAATATCATAGGCATTATCTGTTCAACGACACAAGATGATCGTGAATCTCCATTTAGTACCAGTGGCAGACAGGGGTTGTCTTTATCTTCAAAACTATAGACATGGCGGAATAGAAGAGTCAACGGGGAGGACGATATGCTGGCAGTACGTTTTAAGTCTGGCGCTAAAGGCTGTCCAATGATAAGTTAAACTGTATCTGGAGGTAAGGTGAGGTTTTAATGAGTTTCGATGAGTTTCGATAGTATTGCTTAAACGAATGAAACAACGAATGGACCTCGGAACAGCCATAGTGTGTCTGGAGTGTCTGAACTTATGACATTTCCGGCGAGCAGCCGTCGCTGACACAGGTGCGTGCAACGTTGTTGGCTGATTTACCGAAAACCAGCCAAATGTCTGCAACGACAGCTGTCGCCATCGCTACGTCTGACTCAGCCCAGCCGACGAGAGTCACGGTCATTTGTTGCTTCCTGTGAACGTCGTCGGAGGGACGCACTACGGGCGGTTGGCGGTTGGGCCATCGGTTCTCAGTCACACGATTACCATCCATCGCCCTCACTCAAAAACACCGTCTGCCTGCTGCAACAAGTTTATGTATTTGGTGCTTTTCTTGGAACGAGCGATTCTTCGACTGGCTGTAGTTTGTCGGTCGCGACCTCCAGCGACACTCCCTACACGACAAACCCGCGGAAGTTGGCGTTGCGACTCTGCAAAAACTGAGTCCATTGACCAGTCGATCGTTCGCTTAACGTCGTTAATATCGTTCAGGGTCACGCCACCCGACGGCCTCTGCGCCAGCGGACCGGTTCGGAATGAGGTCCATTGGAATTAGCACATTCTACACATTTTGAGGCATTATCTCCTACTCCTGCCTTGTAGAAAACGCAAAATGCATTGTCCTCTGAATTGGACGTATGAGAATTGATCTTCCTAGCTCCTGATCTGGGAACTTTGAAATATCAAAGAGGATGCTTTACAAAATGGTATTTTATTGTCTGAACGGATGTCAGAGAATGACGGCTTCTGTAAAATTGACAATCCGTTATAATTTTTTAAAACCATCCCCAGTATTAATCTTGTGCTAATCGCGTTAGATACGAAAAGCATCATGCAAGACTGTAAATTTCGTAAGAGGTGACATTGCCCTGCCAAGTCACGCTCTCTAAAAAGCTTCTCCTTCAAACAAATAGTGTTATAGTCAAGGACAGTCGAAATTGGAAGGAACGTTAAAATAAGTTTATACCCGTCTGACATCAACTAAATAATTTAATTTACGTCTACGTCTTGTCATGTATTTTAATCAGCTATCAAGTCGATCGATGCGAATACTTCAGACAGCATGGCCCTACATCTCGCATGCTTGAGCAAAACTGCACCAAAACTCTGCTCTCTTTTATCAACAGGTCAGTGACCTAGTACCTGTCATCCGACTGATTGCACCGAAACACAAGGGGGAAAATTTTTTACTCAGTGAAATTAGTGGTTAATAAGAGACAATTCATGCTGCGCGTTGCATCCATACTCACATTCTAACCAATTGCTGAGCTGCCCCTCCCTAGTGGGACTGCATACTTGGAGATAATCTTTACTTGATAATAAACTAGAAACAGTTGAATAGCGCATAACTATTCCACGCCGGATTTCACGCAGTATTGCACCTTACTCCTAAATGCTATGGAGCAATCGGCAACAACAGATGAAAGTTCAGAACGTCGGAATGTCGATCTTCCTTACACTTTCATGGTTGGGTTATTCTGAAGTTCTTCTGTTCATAAAGTTAATGGCTGAAGTGCCATTTCCATGTCATCAGCAAGGAGTGACTTTAGTACATAACTAAGCGTAATACTTTTAATACATTACCAAGCGTGATACTCGTACATGAACCTCGGAAGAAAGAAAGCCGTCTGACCTCGTCTGAGGCTTGAATATGGGACATATCTGTTCCGAGTCTGACGTTCTACCGACTTAGCAACCTAGCTTTAACCAACTTAGCAACCTAGCTTAAACCGACCTCTAGCAAGCGCATGGCGGATATGGAACATCAGGCTAAACTGCCTCACCTCGCATCAACAACAAGGAGAATCTTTAAATATCCTTCTAGTGATTTTGAATTTACCCTGTTTACTGAATTTGCTACCAACTGAGCAACACCAGTCTAAAGTAAAGTGGAGTAAATTACATGCTCAGGGAATTCGATTCCCCTCTGCCGGAATCTAACTGTAACCTCCGAAATTCGCAGGCTAAGCAGTGCCACCACTCCACCATGCAGCAATTCGAGCAAGCTGCGACAGCATAACATTCCAGAACAAAAACTGTTCTCTTTCATATCAATTTATTCGTTAGGAGTTATTTTCTTAATAAAAAATAATGGTCAGTCAAATAATTTTTTAAAATATCTTTACTAAAGCGTGTATTAATTCTATTTTTTATTCAATGGTTTTAGATGCAAGACAAAGACTGCAATTACGAAACTATCGTACATATGTAAACGTTCCAATCTAACAACAGCTCATGGAAAATTGACAGTACGTGCTGACACTCAAGTAGCTTCAATAAACAAGTACAGTATATTGCAACCTTCAACGACGTCAAATGATGCCGTTTAACCGCTGCACAGCCTTTTCTTATTAATTGAGACGTGTAGCAATTCTTTGATAAAAATGTTGCTCTTTTTGTTCGTAATCAACCACCGGACTTGTTTCCTTTGCATCCTTAAGCACTTTAAAGGTCGCGACGTAGAAAACGAACTTAGACTTCTGCCCGATGACAAAGATGCAGAATTCAGTCATGTACAAGGCATGTTTTTGAGAGAACGCGATTCAATATATTACGGCATCAATGTTGTTTTCCAAGGAACGGAAAAGTACCAATTCTATACCGAAAACACAGAAATTGCTCAAATGACCTGTTGAGAAGACTTGTTAAAAAAATAAAATAAGAAAACTTGTTCAGGTATTTGTTACCCTACAGAGATTTCTGAAGCCTTCATAGACTTTCTAGACTATTGAAATTTTCCAATCTAGCATTGCCAAGTCATTGTTTCAATTATGTACGATATTTCTTATTCGATTAACAAACATGTAGACCCTACGACGAGTCGTCAAGAAATTAATGTGCCGGATCCGAAATGATACTGATCTGATAAGCCGGAATACAGAAAGATCAGCCGATATTCATGGTTCCTTGGAAATAGCTGCTTTGCACTGCGAGATCAATTTAGATTCATTGCCTCAAACACATTGCGATGCTTTGAACAACAAAGGCAGGCTGGACCGATACTGGTCCATTATTCAGCAAGTTCATCACTAAAACATTGCGTCACTGGCAGCCATTCTTATGATAAACGTGTTGTTTACTTTTAATGACGTGGTTTACGGGCAACTATTTGCAATTCCGATGAGTTTTCCTGTCAGTTTTCAACCAGACAAGATCTGTGTCTACTACTTTGGAAAAAAAACTTCTGAATTTATTCTTCCATTATAAAACTTGTTCAGTGCTTTTATTACATTCAAGATCTCTTCAACCACATCAGTAGTCATACTGATTTACTCAATTCATTTCTCATCTGCGTAAATTCATTAGATGCTATCAATCTCTGAAAATTCCAATTAGAATTCAATGGCATGTTCAATGTTACCTTCCCTTGACATCTTGATTCAACATAGCGTTGAACATTCTTCACTTTTCCTTATATGATAAATGGATTAATTTCAATCGTTGAATCCTTCCTTCGACCCGAAAGGAAAAGCGGCGATGGAAGATGAAGATGAAGAATCCTTCCTTCTACAGTACTCCAACAGTCTTCCAACAGCTTTTACTGATATTACAAATTGCCAACGGCGCAGCCTTCAAATATTGCTATCGAAAACGTCTCCTTTCTGAACAAACTATGAACTTTTGTGATGACTTCCCGAGAATGGCCATGCAAGATGTTTAGTTCATTCCTTACTCATTCACCCTCTTCATAAAGTCAATAACTCCATCGCTATTCCATATATTGACGGTGTATCCAAAGATACGCACAGCTGGTAGAAAAACGTGTCCTTCAAGAATTCCTTTCTTGAGGTTTGGCTTTGGGTTCTATGCTTTACATGAGCTCCATAATAATCCTCCATTACTAACGAAAATAATTGTCGTTCATCCTAATCATTGGAACTGTTACGAGCAGACTTATGTGGGAAAGACTTTCAGAAGATCGCACTAGTGAACACAGAAGAGGTATGACGAGCAAACATCCTCAATACTCCGGTTTTGCCTGAGAACATCGTCACGGTTTTGCAGATAAAGCGCTTCATTAGTTGATAAACAACATAATGAAACAAAGTTGGTAATCAAAGAAACACAGCACATTTCAGCTAATAAAGAAAATTATGGAATGACTGTGTAGCTACTTTTTACATCTCTGAGGGTTTGAATTCACTGCATCCATTTCATTGAAACTACCTGAGTTTCAATATATACCGTAACATCGTTTGCAAGTTCTCTTTTCCGAAAGAGGCAGCTGTCGCCGACAAGTTGGTAACTGTAGAGCAAAGGTTTCGTTACATCTGCCCTTGCCTTGCGTTCAAAGTTAGGAAGGAATACGAGTTCATGGCTTGTAATCAAAATAATTTTTCGAAATCAAAAAGCATATTATTTCTTTGGATATTCTGCGAAGGAATACACTGAATTATGAACAGATAGCGTGGAAAGAAAATATTTGCATCTAAAACCTTCAAAAACATAAGATAGAAGCAGTTTTTTGAATAGTTATTACTGCAAACTTTTAGAAGGATGGCGGATGGAAGGCCTCCTATGCCGTTTAGATCCGGTAGTAAAATAAAGTGTTATTTTACTTAACTGCGGCATCAAAAACTAGCAGCATGTTAGTAAACCAATAAGATCGGTGTTTCTTTTATGTATGAACATGAATCATGTTTATCAATATAAGCAAGCCTCAAAATAAAATGTTGGCGTATAGTAAACAGGAACTTATGTACGGTAGGGTCGTCGTCCATTATAATATACGTCGATGCAGCAGGGATAAACAAAATGGTTTCGCTTCACCAGATTTATACTTCGAAACTGCACCGTTTCCATGCTACAGCTGCCTAGGGGGGGGGGGGG